GGTAGTAAAATAAATTGAAACCCACCACTGTGATTCTTGCAGCTTGAAGTAAAGCATACTTCCCATTTCATATATAAACCTACAGTAGTTGCTAGAATTAAAGAAACAGCTGGCACTACAGAGGAGATGATGAAGAATAAGGAATTACTATATTACTGTAAAAATATGATTCAATGTGCATTGAGAAAATTACACAGAAGAAAAATGCAAAACAGTGCTGCCTTAGAAAATAAACAGTAACATTTAGGCAGAGTATCTTGTAGTATGTTTTGTATGTCAAATAATGGAAAAAAACAGTCCTTCTCATGTCATTCAGAACTTGACTTAGGAGCAGCCAAATCTTCCCTCAGCACTGACAAATACCATATTTTTCGAAGTATAAGGTGCACCATTTTTCCTCTAAAAAGAGGCTGAAAATCTGGATGCACCTCATACGCCGAATGCAGCATTTTTTGCCTCTTGAAGCCCCGCCCCTTCACCAAAATGGCCTTGCATACCCTTATAGAGGCTTTCAGAGAGTTCCTGGGGGCTGGGGAGAGCAGAAATGAACAAAAAATGGGCATGTCCCCCCCCCCGCCCCCAGCAGCACTATAAGCATCCATAAGGCTATTCATACATTTTTTAAACAAAAAAATGGCCCGTTTTCGTGAAAAACGGGCCGTTTTGGGGAGGTTTGCAGAGTGCAAAACTTTTTTTTTTCCTTCCGGAAAGCTGTTTAGTTAAAGTGGTTGATGAGTTTTAGGTGCTAAAGGTTGTCAGTGATTTCCTTCTCCAGCACATGGATAAATATACCTGAAAACATCTACCTACCTACCTACTCACTCTCTCTCTCCCTACCTACTGTATTTCTCTCTCTCTCTCTCTCTCTCTCTCTCTCTCTCCCTTTATCTACCTACCTAACTACTTTCTCTCTCCCTACCTACTGTATTTCTCTCTCCCTCCTCTCCCTCTATTTACTTATGTACCGAACTACTCTCTCTCTCTCCACCTACCCATCTACTGTATTTCTCTCTCTATTTTTCTCTCTCTATCCCTCAACCTACCAACCTACCTACTCACTCTCTCTCCCTACCTACTGTATTTCTCTCTCTCCCCCTCTCTCTCCCTCTATTTACTTATATACCTACCTACTCTCTCCCCCCCACCTATCTACTGTATTTCTATTTTTCTCTCTCTATCCCTCTACCTACCAAACTACCTACTCTCTCTCTCCCTGCCTACTCTATTTCTCTCTGTCTCTCTCTATTTCTTTCTCTCTATCCCTCTACCTACCAAACTACCTACTCTCTCTCCCTAACTACCTACCTACCCACTGTATTTCTCTCTCTTTCTCTTTCTCTCTTTATCCTTTATCTA